ATTTGTAAAAACTGTCTAATTTCTTCTTTAATTTCCTCTGTAATCCATTGATTGTTTAGGAGAGTGTTGTTCAGTTTCCATGTGCTTGTGAAGTTTCTATAGTTTCTTGTGCTATTGATGTCTAGTTTGATTGCACTATGATCTGATAATAAACAGGGGATGACTTCAATTTTTTTGCATTTATTTAGACCTGTTTTGTGAGCCAGTATGTGGTCTATTTTGGAGAATGATCCATGTGCAGCCGAAAAGAATGTATATTCTGGTTTTTGGGGGTGGAATACTCTATAAACATCTATTAAGTCCATGTGTTCCAAAGCTTGGTTCAGTTCTATTATTTCATTGTTGATTTTCTGCCTAGTAGATCTGTCAATTTGTGATAGTGGGGTATTTAAATCCCCCACTACAATTGTATTAGTGCTTATTTGGTTTTTCATGTTACTTAATATTTGTTTTATATAGTTGGGGGCATTTATATTTGGTGCATATATGTTTATGATTGTCAGCTCTTCCTCTTGAATTGTTCCCTTTACAAGGATGTAGTGTCCTTCTTTGTCTCTCTTAATGAGTTTTGGTTTGAAATTTACTTTATCTGAGAATAAGATTGCTACCCCTGCTTTTTTCTGGACTCCTGACGCATGGAGAATTGTTTTCCATCCTTTCACTTTCAGTCTATGGACTTCCTTTTGCACTAGGTGTGTTTCTTGTATACAACATATTGTTGGATTTTGCTTCTTAATCCATTCTGCCAATCTGTTTCTCTTGATTGGTGAATTGAGGCCATTGACAATGTCAATGGCTGTTGGCTTTTCATAGATAGCCTTATCCAGTTGAGATGAAGACCATCTATTCCAATTTTCTGCAGGGTTTTTAATCATGAAAATGGGTGTTGAATTTTGTTAAATGTCTTTTCTGCATCTTTTGACATGATCATATGATTTTTGTCCTTGACTTTGTTAATCTAGTGTATTACATTTATTGATTTACATATGTTGAACCATCCTTGCATCCCTGGGATAAATCTGACTTGGTCAGTGTGTATGATCTTCTTGATGACCCTCTGCATTCGGTTTGCCTGTATGTTGTTGAGGATTTTTGCATCTATGTTCATTAAGGAGATTGGCCTGTAGTTCTCTTTTTTGGTTGGTTCTTTCCCTGGTTTTACAATCAAAATAACACTTGCTTCCAGGAATTAATTTGTAAGTATTGCTTCTCTTTCAGTTTCATTGAAAAGTTTAAAGAATGGTGGCAATAGTTCTTCTTAAATGTCTTGTAGAATTCAGCAGTGAATCCATCAGAACCTGGGCTTTTCTTTTTTGGTAAATTTTTAATTACTTTTTCAGTTTCACTGATTGCGTTTGGGGTGTTTAGAATTTTTGTATTTTCTTCATTCAACTTTGGAAATTCATAAGTATCTAGAAATCTGCCCATTTCCTCTGTGTTCTCCATTTTATTAGAGTACAGGTTCTTAAAGTAAGCATTGATGATTCTTTGGATTTCTCCTAGATCTGTTGTGACTTTGCCATTTTCATTCCTAATTACATGAATTTGAGGCTTTATTTTTTTTATAATGTTGGCTAAGAGTTTATTGATTTTATTTATTCTTTTGAAAAACCAACCGTTCGATTTGTTGATTTTTTTGGTATCATTCTCTTAGTTTCCATTGCATTGATTTCTGCTCTGATCTTTATAATTTCCTCCCTTGTATGAGCTTGGGGATTTTTTCACTCTTCTTTTTCTAGGAGCTTAACATTCACCATTAGGTTTTTTTATTTGAGCTCACTCTGTTTTCCTAGTGTGGGCATTCACTGCTATGAATTTCCATGTAAAACTGCTTTCATTGTATCCCGTAGATTCTTGTATGTTGTACTGGAATTTTCTTTAAATTGTAAAAACTCTCTAATTTCTGCTGTGACCCATTGTTTTTTCAGGAGAGTGTTTTTCAATTTCCATGTTTTTGTGAAGTTCTTATGGTTTTTTATGCTATTGATCTCCAGTTTAATTGCACTATCATCTGATAATATACATGGGATAACTTCAATTCCTTTGCCTTTACTTAAAAATGTTCTATGAGCTATCATGTGGTCTATTTTGGAAAATGATCCATGTGCAGCCGGAAAGAATGTATATCCTGATTTTGTGGGGTGGAACACTCTGTAGACATCTATTAAGTCCATTTGCTCAAAAGCTTGGTTCAGTTCTAGTATTTCATTGTTGATTTTTAGTCTAGATGATCTGTCTATTTGTGACAGTGGGATATTGAGGTCCCCACTACTATAATTGTGTTAGTGCTTATTTGGTGTTTCATATCCCTTAATATTTGGTTTGTATGGTTGGGGGCATTAGTGTTTGGTGCATATATATTTATGATTGTCATCTCTTCCTCTTGGATTGTTCCCTTTACAAGGATGTAGTGACCTTCTTCATCTCTCTTAATTAGTTTTGGTTTGAAATTTACATCGTCAACAAATAAGATAGCTTACTGCTGATTTTTCTCCAGGTTCCTGTCACATGGAAAACTGTTTTCCATCCTTTTACTCTCTGTCTATGAGTTTCTTGTTCAAGTAGGTGTGTTTCTTGTATATAGCATATTGTTGGATTTTGCTTCTTAATCCATTCTGCCAGTCTATGTCTTTTGATTGGTGAAATTTGAGCCATTGATATTGATGGTTATAACTGATATGTATTGACTTATCATTGTCATGTTATTTTCCTGTTGTTGGTTCTTTCTTATTTTTCTCCCTCTCCCCTTAAATTCTTACCTATTGAATTTGCTATTTTGGGCCTCATGGAGTTGTGACCTTCATTGTCTTTTTTTAGGATATTTAAAAAAATTGTTTGGAGTGCTGGTTTGGTATTCATGAAGTTTCTCAGGTGTTCTTTGTCATGCAATTATCTTATTTCTCCATAAATTTTCTGCTTTGTTTTGTTTTTTGAGACAGGGTCTCATTATGTCGTGGAGACTGACCTGGGACTCACTATGTAGCCCAGGCTGGTCTCAAACTCACAGTGATTCTCCTGCCTCAGCCTCCCGAGTGCTGGAATTACAGGCATGTGCCACCATGCCTGGCTACTCCATCAATTTTGAAAGATAGTTTTGTAGGATACATCAGCTTAGGTGGAGGTAGTTTTCTTTCTTTTTTTTTTTTTCAGCTTTAATTGAGTTTATTGGTACATTTTAGGGATACAGTACAGTTACATTCATTGTTGGGATCTTGTACCTCTACATGACAAGTCTTGGTTCTCATTTTTTCCCCTTACCCCATCCCTACACCTAGCTCCTTTCTTTCCATTTCTCAATGTCAGTAATCTTATTAGGATCTTCTGTATTATTGCAGATTATTCACACCAGAGAAATTATTCGGTATTTAGACATGTGTGCCTTATTTATTTCACTTAGGAGTATATCTTCAATACATATCCATTTTCCTATGAATGAATCTATTTTCTCATTCTTTATGGCTGAATAATATTACATTTTTTAGAAAAACCACATCTTCTTTATCCAGTTTCCAACTGATGGGAAAATAGGCTATATCCAAGTTTTAGCTATTACAAACTGTGCTGTGACGCTATAAATATGGGCGCTCATACTTCTCTGTGATATGATTCTTTTAGTTCTTTTGGAAAGATACTCAGCAGAGGGATGGCTGGGTCAAATGGAACCTCCAGTCCAAGCTCTTTTGATTTCTATAGTGGTTGCTCCAGCTCATTTTAATTACACCAGGAAAGATAACTGATTAGATCAGTCACAACACTAGCCTGAGTGATACAATCAGCAAAAATCAAATAAAAAATAGCTTAGAAAATGACAATTTGTGGTAGTTCTTAATCTATCACCTTTAACCATGTGAAATAAAATGAAATCAAAGACTAGCCCAAAATATGTTTATAATGAATCAACTGATCAATATAGTAACTTTACTCTTTGGAATGGGAATTTAGGAGTAAGACCCTCTTACTACTATTCACTTCTGCTCTAGCACTGGGCAATGGCCTTTAAGACCCCCTGTTCCACTGCAGTATTGATGAGGTACAGGCATAGCCAGGAAGCCAGAGTCAGGGGGTGGTGGTGGTGGTGGTGTTGGGTTGGGTTGGGCTGCTGGAAGCACCCGCAAGGCTCAGGTCCTTGCCTGTCCATTGGTGTTGGGGAGGTGGGAGGAGGGAGGTTGGGAGGGGGAGGGGCTCACACCAATGGCTTCACACAGCTTTCAACCTCACTGGTCTGCTGGTGGCCATTTACATTTCTTTTGTGGAGTTGACTCACATATATGTATATATAAAACACATCTTTTTTCTTTTTCTCTTTATTGGTAATTTGGATTTTCTGTTTTTGGAAAAAAGTCCCTGAATCTTAGCTAGTACTGCCATTAACCAATACCCCTATAATGCATTGTTTACTAGTCATAGAAGACAGATTGTGTCTTGCATAAGAAATCCCTTTCCCCTAGCAACATCTTTAATTGTTAGCCTTCTATTTATATCTTGTTTGCATATGCATCTGGCATGGATGGGGAGCATATTATTTCATTGTCATCCTGAGATGCCTCAAGAAGATGTATATATGTCTTTAGTTGTAACTGTTAAATTATATCCCAAATGCTTCTGATCCTAGTGCCTGAGCTGTAAGCTCTGCTGGGAAATGCTGTAACAGTGACTGCATATTCTTCAACTTGGCCTTCATAGATATAATTAAACAGGACTTCTTTTGAAGTGTGCGATGACTGTCTTTGGCAACGTCCTTGGTGATATCAGTGCCATTTCAATGTGACTGATTGAAACAATTTCAATGATGCAGTGGCCTTTTTCCTCTGGGATGAGGTCTCTTCACACCACTTTCCCCTTCAGCCTGGTTCCACATGCGTTCAGGACACACACATGTGCTCACACACACATATACACATGTACACAGTGTGCACATGTACTGTGTCTAAGTTAATTATGATGGAAATGATCCCAATGGGCTACTCAGCAATGAATCTTTTGTGTCCTTCCCTCTGTAGTTACTGTGTGGGCATGTGCGGAGATGGAGCGAACGACTGCGGGGTGAGTAGGAATGACTGTTCTCATATGAGCAGCTCAGTGTCCCTATTGAGGACCCCAAAGTCTCCTGGGGCCTAACTCTTCATCCTTGCATGAGCCACTACCCGATCCCTCTGCTGAGCATACCCGTCTCTGCCTGAATATGAGCTAGAAGTTCAGAAAAATAAGTGAGGTGGATCAGTACAGCTGTTTTCAGCAACCCCTGCAATAATAAATACTGAGTTTCTTGTAGTTCAGACCCAGAAGGGACTCTGCGGGATGAGCTGGTTTCAGTCTCCTGTGTTATCAGTGAGGGAATGGAAAGAATCGAAATGTGTTGTGCATATGTGTATAGGTGCCAGCTCCTCACGGTGAACATTACTGTTACACACTGTAAACGTTGATTTAAAAAAAAAAAAGGAAATGAAGTCTCTGGAAGGGAGATGAAGTGTTTCTGCCTGAAGGCAAACAGCTGATAAAGTCTGAGTGAAGGAAAATTTTGAAATTGTTCATTAAAGTTTTGAACTATGTGTAAATTGTATCAGTCTCTACCAAACTTCTATTCTGGGGCTAATTTTTCAAAATTAGTTTTACCAGAAACTCTTACAGTCAGTGAAATCCTAGACTAGTTATTACATACTGTAGCACAACTGTAATTGAATGACTCTTAAAAGATTTCTTATACACAATAGTTTAATACCCATTTTCAATTGTGAGTTCTAATGATATAGTTGAAACAACAGTTTACTTTGAGGACTATGTGCATAAGGAAATTTTCAGTAGCTAGTTGTGGAGAAGTGACAGGACACTCACCTCACATATGCAAGGCCCCTAGTTCAATCCCCAGTACCACAAAAGAAAAACCACTGAAGAGACAGGGAGGAGCTAGATATTTGTTATGCTTTTTTCTTAAGTATTTTCTTGAAAGTCTTGTGAAAACTATGTTCATATTTAGAGATTGATCTTAAGTTCTTCTGTGTGGTTTCATGAGAAGAAGCTAGAGCTAGTTGTGAGTCTGTTCTTTAAAATCTAGAGTGAAAACACATTACTATTAATTATATGGATTTAGAACAAAGATATCAAGTACTAAAAATGGCATGGTCTCTGCTCCCCAAAGAGTTCATTGCTTGATGGGAGAGAGAATCATGCGTAGAACTAATTCTAACATATGGTAGATGATCTTAAATTATTCAATATAAACCAGCTGTGGTACTAGGTAGTCTGTATTTTATAGAACCACATAAATATAAAATCTCATTTTATGCCCACACAATTCTTATAGAATTTGGACCTTTCTGGTCTGTCTACTGACCAATCTGCTCTCTGTTTTAGTCTTGATGAGAAACAAATTCTCCCCTATTTCAGTGAAGAAATACATCTGTCCCACTGCATCTGTGATAAGTGTCATCTGATCTGTCTCCGGTGGCGATGCTTTCTGTCCTTTGCAGCAGTTAGCTGGTTACCTCGCTCAGGCAGAGTAGAGAAAGGTGGATATTAGTTCTTTCCCCATTTATTGTGAAGACAGCCTGCAATGAGATGGTGAAGATCCCTAAACAGTAATCATTCAAATTCTATCATTTTTTAAATAAACTTTTGACATATAACCCTCCCCCCAGCTAATACACATGTGGACACACACCCCACCACTACCACCATTCTACCTCTGGAGCACTGTTTAGTTGGTGCCTCTTTCACTGGTGACTATGGATAGGGGAGAGAGGCCAGTCCAGATGGACGGACAACACGATTAGAGACTCAGAGATGGGTGGGTCCAGTGTTATAATTCTGGAACATGAAGAACAGCCTCATGGTGAATGAGTAGTTAGAGAGCGGCCAGAAAGTTCTTAGGTATGACATGGATGGGTTGTTCCAGGCTTTGAAAATGGCTCATGCAGGCATCTCGCTGTCAGAGCAGGAAGCATCGGTCGCATCCCCCTTCACCTCCAAAGCAGCCAACATCGAGTGTGTGCCGCATCTCATCAGGTAAGCCGCTTCTTCCCTTCCACCCCACAGCTGTGGGCTCATTATCTGGCCTCGCAAACAGATGGAGTTCCGCTCTGACTTAGTCCTGAGCGGTGTGGGTGAGTGCTGTTGGGGCACCAATGGAGGCAGACATGAGCACCGCTGGAGAATGCTAGGTGCAAAACCCACCAAAAAGTGACTTTCCCTGAACCCCAAAGAGTAAGTGGGTGTGTCACGTAGACAGCTGAAAGCTTGATTTAGGATTTCAAACTTGATCGTGTTTCTTCTCCTGTCCTTTCTTTTATATGCTGGGTGCTTCCTGGAATAAGTATTCCAGGAGTTTGGGATGGGCAGGAAATCAGAGCAGGAACATTCTTTTTTTAGGTAGCTTCCTCCAATATTATAGGTCTCCAAGATGAAAATTAGCAAATACCCATACTTTTATATAAACAATATTACAATTGATTAGGGAAAGGAAGAAGTAAGAAAACTTTTTTTTCCCACTATAGAACCATCATTTCACACTCATTTCTGATCTTAGTTCTATTTGTATAGTATAGTTAACAAGAAAACATTAGTTTTTATATTTTATTATCAATCTATTTCCCCGTGGCACTATTTATTCCCCCTGTAGCACTTGGGGGCAACGGCATGGTCTGTGGTCTGGAAGTCATCATCAAATTTTAAGTATTGTACAGAAAAAACAATCATGAAATTGTATACCACATCCCTTGGTGAGTTAGAATGAACAGGTTTCTGGCAGGAATGCATCAGTCCTGAAATTCCAGGCCCTGACTTTGTGTAAATCAGGTAGCTGGATGCATCCATCAGAACCATCAAAGGCCACTACCTTCTCCATGCCCAAGGTGGCTCCACTTTGCAACTCTAGATCCCTGCTTCTAAGGCAATTTTGGTCCTTGATATCAATCGCTGAGGTGCAGCAGCTCAGAATGTGTTCTCTTTCCTTGACCTATCACCAAACAGGCATGATGCCTTACTGATCTCTCTGTGTATACCATCTCTCCAGTCTACTCGCTTACCATTTCTGTTGCATTAGCCTTGTTTTGCATCATGGCGACTATACAATGATAGTATTGATAGAATGGTTTCCATTATCAGTGCAACTCATGGAGCTCTTTAAGCGTTATTCTTAGAAAGGTGGTAAGTAAAGAAAAAAAAAATATATATATATACAACACAGAGAAGCATGTTGAAAGATGTTCAATAAATTTCCTTAAAGTAAATTAATGCCTAGAAAATACAATAAATGTTCCAGTTGTGGGGTGCAAGAACTCAAGCCAGGATGACCAAACAGAGGACTAGGACTTATATGCACAGAATGGAGGTAGGAGGGAATTCGAGGTGGAGGAAATGGGAATGGCAGATCTGGAAATAAGGTCATAACTGGAGAATCAGCTGCAGGACAGTTAGTCAAACTGAGCAGGAATGCTCAGGTGGGAGTTCTGGGGACAGAGCTGGAGAGCCAGGAGTAGAAGCTTACCTAGGGAGTTTGACCTCCTGGACAGATATTCGAAGTGCCTGCCCCATCGTTCCAAACTACAGGACTTCACACCTTCCTCACGTACATTCCCCAACACATTTACAAATGCAGCTCGCTGTTTCAGAACACAGTCATGATGTGAATTTCCCTAGTAGCAGATGGCTTAGTAAGACTTCAGGGCAGAGAGCCTTTGCTTTTATATTTCACAGATTCATAAAAATCATATATGGTTCGGCTCTATTAGACTCACTCTACCCTTTGTTCTTTTATACCCCTACTAATTTCTGGCTGAGAAAACACTTCAGGGGAGCAAGGAGATCCAGTGTAAGTGCATAGGTGCAGACTCACAGGTTTGAGGGGTGATTCACTTGTTGTGTAGTTCAAGTTCCATAGGGCAAGGACAGCATCTTAGTCATTATTGTACTAGGTGTTGTGCCTTGTACTGAGCTCGGTACATGAGAGCATTGGAAGGATTGTGCGATATGTGTGAACAAATATGGGAGCCACTCAAAATTCACAATCATGAAAAGTAGCAGCAATTTCAGAGGACCGTGCAAGCACTCTTTGTCTTTTTACTTAGAGTGGACTCTTTCATTTTCCTTCTTTCTCTTGAATCTGGGTGTTTTTGTTTCCTGGACACACACCCCACTGCAGGAAACAGAAGAAATCACAGTGTTTATGTCAGACTTGGGAGAACAATACAGGATTCACATGCTTGCTCTTCTCAGATTGTCTCCTTTTCCGTTCACTGTGCTGAAAATAAATGGCAGCGCCTCACAGCCTGGTGGAAAACATCTGCCCAAGCTCCCTGGCCCATCTCCCCGGCCAACTCTCCCATCTTGCCTGAGGCACAGTGGTTAGTAGTTTGCCCATGTTTTCCTTTTACTGTCCCTGTCTGGTTAACAAAGTATTAGAACAGAGCAGGCATCCAAGTCAGTGGGGGCGAGGAATGAAGTGAGTGTGGGTCCCTCTCACGTAGATTCATTTCTTCCCTCACAAAAGCAAGCTGAGGGACCTTCCAGCACTGCGACCTCACACTGTCTTCCTCCTGGCCGGCCACCACCCACTACCCAACAGAGTACACTGAAGAGAGTAACAGCTCACATGGAATTCTTCTTAAATACGGGGACTCTCCACTTCCAAAGCTGCAGTTCTCACTATATTCTTGATCTCTTGATCTCCACACCAGCTCAAACTATTATCCTGGGTTTTCCCTAGAATACCAAGGCCTACTAAGACCAGCAACACCTATTCTATCTCAAATATTAGAGTTGCACCTATACTTCCAACAAAGTGAGAGCACCATCCTTTAGTTTTGAGTCTCTAAGGGCCTCTAAGACACACACAACAATTTCTAGGAAGCATATATTGTTAAAATACAAGGAATCACAATCAAGTCAATGCTGGACATTTTGTACCCTATCATAGTGTTCTACTGTGTTTCTAAAATGCATGGTTGTCTTCTGACTTTTTTTTTTAACTTCCAAATTGATGTTTTATTTCATTATTGATTTTTAAAATACTCTGATCTCGCTGAAATTCTTTTTTTTTAATTTTTAGAAATTACTTTTATCTGTACATTTTAGGTATACAATATAATGACATTAGCCTTCTTACTAGGATTGTGCCTTCTTAAAGGATTGTGCCTGATTCATCGTGCATTCTCCATGACACTTAGTGTAATGTTGCTACCTCATACGACCTACATAAAAGTGAATCAAGAATCTATAAGGGAAGTAATGACTAAAGAAGAGAATGAATGAATGAGTGATGAAGTAACTGAGAGGATGAATCAATGATTAAGTGAATATATATCAAGGGGCTATTAAAAATCAAATTCCCGGGCCAGGGATTTAGCTCGGTGGTGCAGCTGCCTATCTTGCAAGGTCCTGAGTTCAATCCCCAGCACCCCCCGCCCCAATCAAGGTCCTTTGGAAGTATAAAAGAGACTAAGAGATGTGTTCCAGATTTATTTGTTTGTTTGTTTGTTTGTTTGTTTGTTTTCAAACAGAGAAGGCCGCGCTGCTCTGGTTTCATCATTTGGGGTGTTTAAATACTTGACCATGTATGGAATAATCCAATTTGTTGCAACAGCACTGCTCTATTGGGTATGAAACAAAATTTTTTCTTCCCAGTTCTAATTATATTTATATCTATGGCTTATTCTTTGGGGTGTGGCTTTGATACAGGGTTTTGTGTCATATAATAAATGAGGTTTCTTGAATTAGATGCCCACGTGCTTGGGAGCCTGGTATAAGGGTGCTGAAGGGCGGTGGGGCAGGAATAAGTCAATGTGGATTCCTTTTCTAGGGTGCTACTTTTTTCTGGGTAACCTGAGACTCTTGACCTCTCCAAGCCTGTTTTCTTCCCCTGGAGTATAAAGAGAGTTTTTGAGTAGCCTAAATATAACTCAACAGGAAGTGGATCAGTCTCTAACTGTGGAATATTTGTGATAAAAGACTGAGAAAAGATTAAAAGGAAGAGAAGTTGTTGGATTTGATTTTGAAGGACTACAATGTTAAAAAGTCCCATACTGGAGATTTACTCCTGAACCTACCCACTTAAACAGATAAACATATAGTTAGAAAAGGATTACCAATATTTTAATAGTGAAAAATAACTCTTATAATTAAATAATAAACATTTAATTCCATAGTTACTGATTCACTGCTAGGATGGAATTAATTCAAATACTAGAAAATGGTGACTCAATCTCATTTTGTCCAATGAGGTGCTAAGGATTTTAGTTGCATCATTTTCTTCTTGAATAGGGCCGAAAAATAATAGTTGCCTTCTAACTACTTTTGAAAGAATGTTGGAAATGATAAAAATGCAGCCATGACAGAAGCCACACTTATCTTTACCTTTGTTTCTTTTTCAGCAACTACAACTCTTTGGGAATTACCAGTATCTCATGCAAGATATAGCCATTACTTTGATGGTCTGTTTAACAAGTAAGCTCTTTAGCAAAGCAAAGTGTTCCTATTTATCTGTGAAAGTCTACAGAGGCAGCAATTAGAGCTTCTGAGAAAGTGCTATCCTAACTGCTCAAACTTCTTTGCCTATGAATTTTTTGAAAGTGGTATCGGGAGTGGGTTGAAGTCGGAAGTCTCCAGACTTTTTGGTAAAATATCTTGATAAGAAATAGGTCTTATCCTCAAAAGCTTATCAACATATTTAGTGTATTCTGGTCTCTTTGTAATTTGTTTCTTGTATGTAGAAGAATGAACAAGAAATCCAAAAAGGGATTTTTTTTAAAACCCAAAGTTCACTTTCCTTTATTCAGCTCTGCTCCATATTGATGTAAAACTAGGTTTTTGATGGGTCTTTGACACATGAGAGCAAATGCTAACATTTGATTGTAGTGGAATTTTCTCAAAAGCAAGGTGTGGCTTACAGCAGCCATTGCTCATTCCTGTCCTTTGAGATGGCTCTGATAAAGTATTTCCGATCGAGTAACTCAGGGCTTGATACTAACTCTTAATAAGCGAGAAGGGTGACTGCCTCGACAGGAAATAAAGCAAAAGAATGGCATTGTCATCTCCTTTTCTTTGTCCAACAATGCAGTGCTATAAAATATAACAGATAAGATATCAGGCATTGCCGAACATTAATAACTTCAAGAATTTCATGACACTGGTATTGAAGTCATTCATTACATCAACCCAATGACAGAATTTACCAGTCCCATGGATGTAAGCAGTATCAATTTTGATCATTAGGGTTGAAATGTCTCTTCGTAGCCTATAAAATATTTTTCTACATGCTATTAATATTAACATGACTGAATGATTTTGAATCAATGATGGTGCTTCTATGATGTTTGATGATTTTAATCAATTTGCATGATTTATTTGTGAAGGATGCTGAAAAGCAAAAGGAGCACTAGGAATTTTCAAGAGCTGAGCTAGCCCACAGTGGCATGGGAGTGATGTCGTGGTTCTTCACCTTGCCCTGTCTCTGTGACCTTTGGCAAGTCACTCAAGAAATAATTTCCTAATGTGAAATGCTTTTTAGGGCGCTGGAGATCAGAAAAAGTGGTGTCCATGGAGTATAAATTACAGTGCAAGGTACACTAAGGACTCCTAGCAAGCTGAATGACCTCGCAGTGCACCTCTCCTCTCTGTCTTCTTTTGAGATGACTGGTTAGCTGTGCAAACACTTAAAAGGTATCAGAATGGACAGGACCCAAACATGAACATCAGTTTTAGTTTTGCCTCGGAATTGCTTTATGACCTTTAGCAAGTGTTCTGACCTTTTGCACACTCAATACCTTGATATTGGGTATAGAGTTGACACCCACAGACTGCCCTATTTGACTGTGTCCCATGGCGCTAACCTATTGACACTCATGCCACCTGGTCACACTTGAATCCCAGCCATCATTCAGCCTATGTTCAGTGAGTGCTGGAATAACTCAGTAAAGGTCTGTGATCATCTCTAGAAGAAGAAAGCCCCGGGTGGGGTAGGTCAGATAGACAATGTTCCATCAGAACGACCTTATCCAGTGACTAGTAAGAAATCATGTAGCTGGTTGCATAAGTAGGATGAACTCTGAGGATGTTGGTGAAGATGAGAGTAGAAGCTGGAAAAGGGGGTTTTTGTTTGTTCTTTGCTCTCTGATTTCAAATACTTTTCCCACCTTGCAAGTTTAGTCATCCCAAAGGCAGATCATTTTCTGGTCAGTTCTAGGGATTACAATGATCTCACCCTTAGGTGTGAAAAGTCCTGGTATCATAAATTAATATCCCACATTTGTATCTAATTCAAAGATTTTCTTTCACTAGATCAAGGCTGATCTATGGCAAGCAGTGAGAGAGAAAGGAAGTGCCGCCTCTGAGTTCCCTTTTGCACACACTCTGCAGCCCACTTCAGGGACTAAGAACAGGAAGAGAGTGTTTGCTACTTAGGTGGGGGATTGTGGTTCTCTCCTGTCAGAGACCCTGTAAGGCAGGCATCTAACTCAGGTGTACTGCAGGGCTCACTGGTGAGTCCTTCAGAACCTCCCTGCGGAGGGCTCTAGTCGAAGGCTTCCCGACAGGGGTACTGCTCTTCCCTCTGACCCCTTAGGAATATTTTCTGCAGCTGTCTCCAGATGGAACGTACCTTAAAGACTAGCAGGTCACACCACTGAGCACATTCCTTCCAGGACAGCTCTAACCTGGCTGATTTCCTTGGCTTCTCCTTGACTTTCCAGACTGTAGTGGTGTAGCTTGCTCTTGCCCCCTGCTTCCTTTTCTCTCCCCATGATTTCACAGTAGTGAAGGAGCGACAAAAGCAAACGCTCCTCCCAAAACCATCTCCAGTCTCTGCTACCGTGGTTCTTTTGAATTCTCCTCATTGGGTTGTGGCAATGCTGAGAAGAAAATAACAGTTCATGCTACTCCTAATGGTCCCCTTTAAAGAATCCCTTAATGATCTCTGTCCTTTTCTCTTATACAGTCAGTCATAGAAAATTGGGATGGGGGAGTCATGTATATTATAGTTGAAGGATGAATATGGATCTCTTTTGTAAGGTATCGTGATTACCTCTCTTCACACTAAATTGGCATTTAACGTTCATTGTCCTCAAATATGAGACTTGGAAAAACTCTTCACATAACAGGAAAAGCACAGTTCAACACCCTGTTGCCCTGACGTCTTTCTCCTACTCTGTGTTGGACACATAGGTGCCCAGTGCATAACAAGGTTGATGACTCAAGCTGGAGTTTAGTGCGGGATTTACATAAATGAATGAATGACCCACAGGCCCATGCTATTGAAGGGCAGAAAATAGCAGGTGCTTTGGAAATTCAGAGGAAGGAGAGATTGCTTCTGATCATGCTGAAAAAAGGAGGACATAGCAAGGAAGAAAGGGGAGAGAGATAGGGCCGACTTCGTGGGAGAAGTAGTATTCCCAGTTACGTAGGAAAGATGAGTAGATCTCAAAATCTTTTCCTAAAAGGGCATTTTAAGGAGAAGGAAGCAGCACGAGCAAGAGTTGATGAATACGGGGTATGCATTTTTCTGTTCGACCCAAGTCTAGGGTGTGTGAGAAGAAGCAGCAGGAGATAAGATTTGAAGAAGTGAGCTGGGCCGGATCACAGAGTCTTTACTGCCAGAGTGAGACCCGTGCACGTTTGTCTGCAGCCCTGGGGAGTCACTGACAATTAGATGTGGTCACTGTTAAATGACTCTCATCAAAGCTCCTTGCTCTTTCAGGTTTTCAGGTAAAGGTTTAGTACTTGGAAAAGACAGTACTATCACACAGTAAATTAATTTACTTCTCCATACCTACCTTGCCTGTTCCCACAGATTTTAAGGCAGCGACGGCAGCTAAAGAGACATAATGCTTTAAAGAGAAAAATCAAGAAGAAAAACAAAATGAAGTCAGGAGGAAAGTCAGTTAATTAGGAAAATGCATGTCTTGAAGTCCAATGTGACCCTCATCTGAGTAGCAGCCATCTTGAAGTTTCGTGCTAATGTCTCTGTGCCCTTTGATAAGAGTTACTTGAGCTAGATCAAGAAAGCAAAGGAGAAAAGGAATTACAAATATAATTGTCAGAAAAGAAAACCTGAGAACAGAAACGCTAAAGCACCTGGGCCTCAGGAAGGAGGTGGCAGCAATGACTGCAAAACCAGATCCCTTTCTTTATTTCCAAACAACCATCTATCTTTACCCTCTATCTTCTTTTTTCTCCATTCCTATAGTTTTAATCTGAGTTCTACTCATTCATCTTGCAAATGTCCCCCCATCAGTGACACTGGTATGAATCTCCATAGCCTTTCTGCTTGTCTTCCCATAGTTAATGAACTCAGCCTCTTATTGTTCCATTTGCCAATGTTTGGAAGAGAAAATTTACTGACTTAATTTGAGTGTAATGCCCACCTCTAGGCCAGGATTTTTATGAATGAAGGAGAGTTTGTATAATTCAACTTCATTTAGAATTCAACTTCATTTAGACCAAACACTCCAACACTTGGGAGGAGACCATATCCAGAGAAGTAGGTGTGAGAATAAATTTCTTCCTTACATAAATGCATCTCTTACTCAAATCCCATCAGTGCTTCACTGAGCCCTAGCCTTTTCTGGGTTGTGAACCCCCTGGAGAATCTGCTAGAAGACGTAGATCTCTTTTCACTTCAGAAGTCCCAGGCTGCACACTCAGAATTTTGCATTTAGTTTTGGTGGGTTTATGGGCCTCTTGATGTTTGACTTACATGATTTGCAAGGTGTACACTATGAAGTAAATCAACTACCAGATATTCAAATGATGCTGAGCAATTAAAATTTATCCTTTGAGAGAACAATTCGAAATGGCAAATTCCTCTCAGGTAGCAGGCCCTGTGCTAGGTTTAGTGAGGTACAGAAAGATGAATGAGTCAGGGTTTCTTTCCCTCAGGAAGCTCACAATCTGCTGAGTGCATAGGCAAATAACTAGATGGAACTCAGAACACCCATGCTATAGCAGCAATAAGAATAATATGTAGTGGGGACTCAGAAGAGGGAATGATTAATTCTGAATAAATTAAATTATTAATATATTAATATATTAATTCTCTAAATATATTAATTTAGAGAATTTCATAAGTTCTGTTTCCTCTGCACACAATCTGATAAGCATATATCCTTTTCATTTTAAGGAATGGATAATTTAGGGAGGTTCTTATGGCTACTGATGAATAGAGGTGCTATCCACACTGGTATTTGGGGGCTCCTCATCGTGTTCTTCTCTATGTAGAAACCCATCACAGTCTGGAATGCTGTGGAGCGAAGAACATGGGGCTTTACAGTCAGGCAGACTTGAGTCAACACCGTTATTTTGTCAGTTACTGGGGGTCTTTAGGCAAGGGACTCCAGCTCTCAGAACTTCAGTTTCTCCTTCTTCTCCATTGCTTCTAAAGGAAATACAGATAATGTTCATGAAACACTTGGCATATGAGGTCTGGAACCTAATAGGTGTCCTAAGATAGTAGTCATTATTTTTCTTTTCATTTATGATCAGAAATACAGATTCCCTGTTAGAATTATTAGAAGTCTCTAATGTGGAAAAAGTCAAATCACTCCATGTAAGGATATCAAATAGCAACTACCCCCGAAATGCAGCAGCTTATACTGCCAAGCAGCTCTACTCCCCCATCATGGGCCTGCAAGTTGAATGGAGTTCAGCTGATCTGGGTTGCTCAGCTAAGCCACTCTGCGTGGGGATGTAGATCATATGATCTTGGTCAAGCTATGGGATTTGTTTTGGGTCTGTTCTATGTCTTTCCCTCCAGAGCCAGGGTGAATAGGCAGTCAGGATATAGTCTCACTGAGAATCATTCAGAGCAAGGCAAGTGATGTAGGGATGCTAACCAATGTTACTAACCAGTGTTAATATCTCTTTGGCCAGGATCACATAGTGAAGCCCAAATAACTCTAGCTCTATGAAGCCAATAATTCCATCTAACACCATTCTTGCATAAAAGTAAACAAAACAGAAGGCCAGAAACTACAAAGTGAGCATGTGTGAGAAATAAGACCAATGCAGCAGAGGCCAGAGCTGTGATTCCACCTCACTCATGGACTCGCGGCTTCTTCCTGAGCTCCTGGTCACCTTGGCTTTGGATGCCACAGTGCAGAGAGACTGCCAAGCTCTGCAGCGCCTGCCTTGTGTGACCTAGGAGGATGGTCTCTTTGCACTGTCTTTGGCATGGACCATGGTCCACATTGTGAGCCCTTTCTTTGGGCATCCAACCCAACCCAATGGCTTCTGACACCATCTACCCAGAGTTAGGCCAAACACCACATGCCAAAGACACAGTCTCTACAAAACTGCCTTCATTTTAGACATTATCTATAAGTTCTGGGATCCCCCTGTCACCTGGAGCTGTGACTAACTGGGTTAATTTATGGGTTCTCACTACTCCACAGGTTCAATAATTTGCTACAATTCACAGAACTCAGATACATGCTATACTTATGATTACAGTTTTATTTAGAGCAAGGGGATATAAATCAGAGCCAGTTAAAGGGAGAGACACTTGAAGTAAAGTCTGGAGAGGCCTGATATGACTTCTGTTATCCTTTCCCTGAGGAGTCAGGATGCCTCCCTGTCTTGGCACGTGGATATGTGACACAGTGCCGAGTCCTGCCAACCAGGGGAGGGAAACTGAAATTCAGAGCCTACCGTTTTTACTGAGTTTTCATTATGCAAAACCAGACTGAGTGAACTGTTGGCCACAGGTTGAACTTAATCTCCACGTTCCAAGTCTCTTGGAGGTCAGGCTGAGATGTGACTCAAGATCACACAGTTGGTTTTGGGGGGTACGGACAGCCCTATTCTTGAGTAATACTATTAATACAAATTCTTTTCACATCCACTGTCATTCATCTTGGCATAAACTGTCAGGGACTGCTATGAAAAAGTACAACACTCTTGTCACTCAGGAAATGTCAGGGCTTCAGAGAAAGCATCACAGGAGCTGGGAACAAAATTCATTATTGCACAATCTATCTGTGCCTGTCATTGGGCTTCAAATTCTTTGGGGGAAGAGGCAATGGTCTTTCTACTCCTGAGACTCCACAGCCTCTAGCCCAGCACCTTGCTTAAAAAAAAAAAAAAAAAACAAA